TATATATATATATATATATATATATATATATATATATATATAACGACGGTAAAGAAACGCAAGGCTGGTGGTATTGGGGATGCCATTTTCAGCCGGACCAAGTTGCTCTGATAACGATGCCTGTCCCCTCCTTGGATACTGGTCCATCTAGCACCCATTCGTATGCGTTTGAGTAGTTGCACGCACAAACTTGTGCACGTGAACACACAAATCGTTATGTTTTGTTGCTTTTCCTTCTTTATGAAACATCTCTGTTTGCAACAGCAAAAGGAAACACCAAAGTCGGCAACAGCAAAAAAAAAAAAGGAAAGAAAACTGAGTATTGTGGTCATGTCGAACGAATTGGCGGCGACCCTGCGGCAGGATGATGAGGAGGATGTTTTTCTGCGGCCTCCGTCAAAGGGATTGTCGTCGGTGGAGGCGGATCGACTCCTTGACCATCATGGGCGCAATGAGCTTCCACACAAGACTGTACCTGGCTGGCTTATTTTTGTGCGCTGTTTGTGGGGTCCAATGCCCATCGCCATTTGGTTAGCCGTTACCATTGAGTTTTCTCTTCAAAATTTTCCCGATGGTGGCATTCTACTTTTCATTCAGTTTGCCAATGCCACAATCGGCTGGTACGAAACAACTAAGGCCGGTGATGCGGTGGCGGCACTTCGTGACTCATTGAAGCCCCTGGCAACGGTCATGCGTGATGGAGTGTGGCAGAACATTGACGCGGCGCTTGTGGTGCCAGGAGACCTTGTGAAACTTGCCTCAGGCTCCGCGGTTCCCGCTGACTGCACCATCAATGAGGGAACCATTGACGTGGACGAGGCGGCGCTCACGGGTGAGTCGCTGCCGGTGACGATGGGAACGGAACAAATGCCAAAGATGGGCTCCACTGTGGTGCGAGGGGAGGTGGATGGCACAGTGCAGTTTACAGGTCAAAAAACGTTTTTTGGCAAAACAGCGTTGCTTTTGCAGTCCGTTGAATCCGATCTTGGCAACATTCACTACGTGCTGGTACGAGTCATGTCCGTTCTGACATCGTTTTCACTTGTATTGTGTATTATCTGCTTTGTTTATCTTATGGAACATTACAAGATGAACTTTTCTGATTCTCTGGAGTTTACCGTTGTGTTGCTTGTCGTGTCGATCCCAATTGCCATCGAAATTGTCGTCACAACCACGCTTGCGCTGGGGTCAAAGGAGCTGTCAAAGAAGAAGGTGATTGTCACCCGCCTCTCCTCGATTGAAATGATGGCCGCGGTCAATATGCTTTGCTCTGACAAGACTGGAACATTGACACTGAACAAGATGGAAATTCAGGAGCACTGTCATGTTTTCAGTAAGGAATACAACCGTGAGAGTGTGCTCGTCTTGGCGGCTCTTGCAGCCAAGTGGCGTGAGCCGCCACGTGATGCGCTTGACACGATGGTGCTGAGCGTGGCTGACCTGGATAAGTGTGACAGGTACACACAGCTGGAGTTTGTTCCTTTTGACCCTCGCATTAAGCGCACAGAGGCGACCCTCCGCGGTCCCGACGGTCTTGTTTTCAAAGTAACCAAGGGCGCACCAAACGTTGTCTTGCAGCTGGTGCACAACCGCGACGCCATTAAGGCTCAGGTTGAGGGCATCATTGAGGACTTGGGTCGGCGTGGCATCCGTTGCCTCACAGTTGCTCGCACTAAGGAGGACCAGCAATGGCATATGGCGGGTATTTTGACCTTTCTGGATCCTCCGCGTCCCGACACAAAGGAGACTATCCGCCGCAGTAGGGAGTATGGCGTTGATGTGAAAATGATTACGGGTGACCATCAACTCATTGCAAAGGAGATGGCTCGTATGCTTGACATGGACACAAATATCTTGACCGCCGAGGGGTTGCCAAGATTTCCCGCAAGTGGAGACCCAAAGGATATTCCATCGACACTCGGTGAGTCACATGGTGACATGATGTTGGCTTGCGGAGGTTTTGCCCATGTGTACCCGGAGCATAAATATATGATTGTGGAAACGCTACGACAACGCGGATATACGGTGGCAATGACAGGGGATGGCGTCAATGATTCTCCCGCACTGAAGCGCTCTGACGTTGGCGTTGCCGTGGATGGTGCCACTGACGCCGCTCGAGCCGCATCAGACATGGTGTTGACGGAGCCCGGTTTAAGTGTCGTTGTGGACGCGATGCTTATTGCGCGTGGAGTTTTTCAACGCATGCTATCTTTTCTAACGTATCGTATTTCTGCAACTCTACAGCTTGTGTTATTTTTCTTTATTGGCGTCTTTGCCCTTCCGTGCCAGGACTACGGTGTGGAGGATCCAGACTTCCGCTTTTTTCGCATCCCGGTCTTGATGTTCATGCTTATTACACTGCTGAATGATGGGACTCTGATGACGATTGGATACGACAACGTTGTGCCTGATCAACGTCCTCAGCGCTGGAATCTGCCTGTGGTGTTTACCATTGCCGCTGTGCTTGCCTGTGTGGCGTGTGCGTCGTCCTTGCTCTTGCTCTGGATGGCACTGGACTCTCACGACACCTCCTCGTGGTTCCACAATTTTGGCATTCCGCCTGTTTCCGAGGGTCAGATTGTGACAATGTTGTACCTTAAGGTCTCCATCTCCGACTTTCTAACGCTCTTCTCGTCGCGTACCGGCAACAATTGGTTCTGGTCATTCCGCCCTAGCCTCGTCCTCATCCTCGGCGCCGTCGTTTCACTGGGGTTGTCCTCTTGTGTCGCCTCCTTTTGGCCGGACGGGAAACTAGACAACGTCGTCGTCGTTGGCCTTTCACACGGTGATAGCCAGGCGCACCGTCTGCTGCCCCTCTGGGTTTGGGTTTGGTGCGTCGGGTGGTGGTTCGTGCAGGAAATCGCCAAGATGCTGGCGTACAAGGTTCTGGAGGTGTTTGACGTATTTAATTATCGCACCATTGCGGAGGGCAGATGGAAGCCATCGGCGAAGACGAGATTCCGGCGTCGCTCACGCGGAATGAGTTTGGGTGCCACCGACAACGTTGAGCAGCCCCTTTTGTCATAACGAACATAACAACCGTAGGGAGAAGGCAACTGAAGCAACGGGATAATAAAATATTTAAACCTACTCCTCAATAACAACAACATTAGCCGAAGCAAAGGGGGGTGGGGGTGGGAGGAGATATGAACTACCACAGATGCATTCCATCGATAAGAAGTACCTGACAGAAGCTGAGAACGCTTTTTCTTGATTAGCTTTATATGTGCGAGGGAGAGAGAAGATAAGGATGTCTATGCAGCTCTTTATCTGTCTTGACGTGTTATACTCATACGCTGTATACGTTGATTCATGAGACGAGCGTTCTGGAGGGAGTGGGATAGAAGGAAAATGACATGGTCGCGATTGTGCATTGTCATTTTTGAGTTTACAAGGAGGATTAGGGACGTCGACGTGTTGTGGTCATGCTGAGGAGGCAGGGGGACATATTTCCATGACTGGAGTGGCAACGGGGAGGCAGCTCACTCTTCTAGCAGCAAATGGAGAAACATACCTCTGCTGGGCACGCATTGCCTCTCTTCCTTTCTTGCTGCCCACGTACGCGCCGTCTACTTTTTTTTTTTTTTCTTACAGCTGCACCTTCTTGTTTGTACTCAAAAAAAAAAAAAAAAGACAAAAATGTTTTTCCGGTCTCATCATGTTTTTAGTTGTTGCTCTTTTTGTTTTATGTTTCACAATATGGCAGGCTGACTTAACAAATGGGGGGGGGTGGGGAAGCTGATGCCATAAATATTGCCGCGTGTGTTTTTTTTGCTTTAATTTTTTTTTTTTGGTTTTTGTTCGTTTGGGGCCTTTGGTGTTCCGGTTGACTGCGCACAAAAGCGAGAGAGGCGAGAATGGAATGGGGTGAACGAATGGCCTGCAAGTGACGTCAATAAAGGGGCGGTCTGAGTGGCGAGGAGGCTCTTTTTGAATTTCCTCACAAACGAATCTAAACACCCAAAGCGAGTGGAAAAAAAAAAAGGAAGAAAGAAGGAACGAAATGCTTGCGTTTTGCATTTTGTTCTCTCCCTCTCTTGTTCCCGATGGTTCTGTTTCTCTCGTGCCGTGTAACTGACGTGCGTGACTCTCCCGCTATCTTACATTGTGTGGATGTACATGTACCATTTTCCCCGCCTTTTGAAATATATATTTTTGGACGTTTTTTTTTTTTTTATCACACGCGCCACTACACAGACGGTGGTGTGGTGGACCCAATGGAATGTGAAGATGTCGTTGCGGGCTCTGTATTCCGACGGGCTTGCCAGCTTGGCGACCTACCGGCGGTACAGGATATTGTTCGTTACGGGTGTGACGTGGAGAGCGCCTCCCGTGAAAGCTGCACAGGGTTGTGGATGGCGGCAGAGGCTGGTCGCACCAAGGTGGTGGCCTTTTTGTGCTCAAGAGGAGCCAACGCAAACGCTGCGACTTCTCTCGGCGGTGCCACCGCGCTGTTTGTGGCGTCGCAGAATGGCCACACCGCCGTGGTGCGGTTGCTGCTGCAATTTGGCGCGGATCCCAACCTCGGCAAAGACACAGGCGCCACACCCATCTTTATCGCGGCGCAGCAGGGACACCTTGAGCTTGTACAGGCGCTGCTCGAAGGCGGGGGAAACCCCGCAACTCCAAATCACCATGGTGTGTCACCCATCATGGTGGCGGCCTATCAGGGGCACGCTGACTGCGTTCAGCTACTGCGAGAGAAAGGGTGTGATCCAAACGAAGTGGCGATGGGACGAAATACGATGGAATGGGCCGAAGCGAACGGATATGTAAATGAAATTGCCCAGGCAGTGCTGCAGGGTTCAGTTACCTGCCCCGTTTTAGAAGCGCGGGCGGACATCATCCCATGTTGTACTACCGGCGGCGACGGCGACGGCGGCGGTAATGACCATGATGGGTGGAAGCTGCAAGACGATGGATCACGTTCTCCGTTAGGATTTATGCAGTCAGAACTGAGAGAGAGAAAAAAATGGCAGCAAGAGGACTCTGCCTTTTTTCTTTCCAAAACCAACACAGGAAGCTTTTTTGAGCCAAAGTTCCTGTTGCGTGCACGTCACACCGCGGGCTCGTTAGGTGCCGTGCCACAGAAACCCGACAGAGAGGCAGGGCGAAGTGAGCGGGAGGGGAGTAAGGCGTCAGAAGTGTCTTTCCGTGATGGATTTGCATCCCGAACGTCACTACATCGACTAAAGTTTTTAGTGGAGCGTGAGGAAAGAGAAAATGAGTCTTTCAGGGCGATGCAGCGAACGATGTTTCAGACACGTCACGCCTGGCGGGTTGTTGCAGAACCCCAGCCCATAGACGTGCGCGAGGTTGAGGCAAGGTGGGATGTATGGAAGCGAACTCTTTATGAGCAACTACGGTAAAGGGAATACTCTGGTAAGTTTTCCCTGGGGACATCATCCTGGGGCACAGAAGAGGTTCTGTGAAGCCACATTATCTCGCTATTTGCCTTTTTTTGTATTTTACTTTTGCCGTCGCTGAGTCGCTAAGAATCTTGCTGGTGTGGTTGATTCCTTCGAATCACTGAGATACAGTTGAACTTAGCGTAGAAGAAAGCGAAGAAGAGCGGGTTTATTGTCTCACGCTGTGGGTAAAATAATATGCATGTTCAATATACCCTTTTTCATCTGGTGTGATTACCTTCTTTATTTCTTTTACTTTTGTTAAGCGTGCAGAAATCTTTTAAAAAAAGTGTGTCTGGGTCTCCGAGCACCAACACCGGCGCAGCCAACCAACACATAAGGATACTTTTAAAGATTTAGATTACATATACAGGAATTGCCATGTCCCAGGTTAATGGTAGGGGTAACACCCTTCAACAGCAGGCAAAAACGGAGTGGATTGTTCGGCTGGAGGTGCAGCGCCGGCACGCAAAGGGCTCGCTCCGCGTTCTTGATTCCATGATTCGTGAGGTGGACGACCAGCTGCTTTATGTTGCTCAGTTTAAGAAGGAGTGGCTGCAGCACCGCAGGGAACTGGAGGCGGCAAGACAGGATGTTTTGGCCGAAGAGGCGGCAAAAAGGCAGCAGCTTGAGAGGCATTGCTTGAATACACAGAAGCAGCTTGCGGGTAGGAATTTTGTAGCTTCGAGGGGGGAACTTTAGAAGCCGAAGGCGGAGTGACAGCGTTTGAAGTGACAAAAGAAAAAGGAAACATTTACACGCCCTCCCCCCTACACACACACACACACACACACTCTTGCCTTACAAAAAGAAAAAAGAAAAACGGAAAGAAAAAAAACATTGCCGCCAGCTTGTTCTTTTGCTCCATATTAGTTGACTCCCACGTCATTCGGGATCTTCTTCTGGGGGTCATGGTCGCGATGTGCCACTTGTGTTTTCTTTTTCCCCCTGCGTTGGTGGTTGCTTTTTCAGTGGGGGAAAAAAATGTGAACTAACTGCTGCTGTATATTTGTGGTCACGTGATGCTTTCAAGCACGTCTCCTTATTAATTTTTGCATTCGTGCCTCCTTGACAGGCTTACACCGCACTCCTTTCACGTCTCTGAGTATATATATATATGGAAAAAAACATTTTTTTTTTTGGCTACCCTCTTGCTATTTTCGGCGTACGTCCTTTTTTTTGGCCCGTCGCGTAGGCCTGCAACAGGGAGTAAATCCCGGCAAACAGACAGGCAGCGGGTTCCGAGGAATAGAGTTAGATTAGCTCCCACAAAGTGGATCGGGCAGGTGCGCCGCCGTGTGGTTGTGTCGCGTGACGGAGAAGCATAAGGGCGGCGCTGCCCCGATGACGGACTACGTGACACCCGGGCGAAACCCCCATACAGCCGGAGTAAGAACAGGCGTTGGGGACAGTGGAAGTGCAGGCAGGCGCGTGGTGCGCTCTGCCCTCGAGCTTCTTGCTGAAACTGCGTCACCCGAGATCCTGCGGGGGCAGACATCGTCTCCCAGCGCGGTGGCCCCTGCGAAATTTACGATCACGTACGCCACTGCCCCGGCAGTGTCTTTTGATGTGACTGATCCGAAGCAGCAGCTACGGCAGTTCCCGTCGGCAGGGAAAGGGAACAGTGCGATGACGCCGGTGACCACGGAGGAGCCAAGCACACTGTTGTTTCTTTCACCAGCCCCTGTTACTGGTGGATCGGACAGCGCCGTCAAGAAGCGTCTTTTCAAAAAGAAAAAGAAGAATATAAAACTTTCTGATTCCGTGAAGAAGGCATCGGTGGCAGCGGCTGCAAGAGAAATGTGGGATCCAGAAGCCTCTGCATGTCAAAACGTATCCAACAATGACGAACACGAGAACAAAGCATCTGGAGGAGAGAGAGTTGTTCTTGGCCCTGGCACGAATGGCTTGCGCGATCAGGGAATGCTGCTGAGTAAAAACGAGCCTCTCTTTACAGAAGAGGAGGTGCAAGAAAGAATATTGGTGGCACTGAAGGCTTATGAGGCTCGTCGTGATGCGGAAGAGGAGTCGGTGCTGCAGGAGGTGGGCCGCGAGATCGAGTCACAGAATGAACGTTATGACAAACTGCTAAAGGATAAGCAGGCCTCTGCTGAGGAGTGTGACGTTCTTCAGGCGAAAATGGAACAGCTTGCAATGCAGTGTGAGGCGCTGCAAAACACCATTGCAGAGCTGCATCAGGAGCTACAAGAGGCTCGGAACAGGGCCTCACGTGCCGAAGTGGAACTCTGTCACGCACAGGACGAAAAGCGCCTGACCTCCTCTGAGTTGCAACAAGAGCTGAACTTTGAAAAGGCGCAGTGGAAGCTGGCACAAGAGGAAATGCAGCGGCAGATCGCCGAGTTTGAGACGCAGCTGCAATCTCGCACGTTTGAATGGCATGAACTACAGGAAACCTCCCATGCGAAGGAGAATGAGCAAGTTCGGCTCTCACAACAGTTGGAGGCGTGCCAGACAGAGCTGGAGCAGTGGCAACAGAGGCATAGTGAGTCTCAGGCGGCTGTTGCAGAGCTACAGGAACTGATTGGAGCCAAAGAGGCACTAATTCGACAGCTACACGTCAAGTTGCAGGAAGCGGAGAAGGCTGTGAAGCGGGCGGCAACCTCAACACGAGACGAACAGACTCAAATTGAGTCACGTTTGCAATCCGTTGAGGAGGCACTGCAGCAGCAGACGGACGAGGTGCGGCGGAAGGTGCACCGCGTTCACGTTCTTGAAATGGAGCTGGCGAAGGCAGAGAAAGTGGGCAAGACGCGGCATTGTGCCATTCACGAGGCCACCAATCGCTTCTCCGCTATGCACTCCACATTAGAGGAGCTTGTAGAAATGTTTCGCACGTCGCGTCCTATGCGATCATGTTCGCGGGGGCTGCGGGAAGCGCTCTTTCCGACGTCGGAGTGGGGCGATCCTCATCCTGGCGCCGCAGAGGGACGCTTCGCGAGGGAAAATGACACCTTTTGTGGCTCCAAGTGGGAAGAAGCAGCGGAGGAAGGGGAGGGGGAAGAAGATGTGGAAAACAGCATTTTTGAACTTGTCATGTGCAGAGAGCTTCGTGATGATCTGCGTCAGGGACGTTACTTCTCAGCGAAGACGACTGCCCCGATACAACAGCGGAAGACAAACACAGAGCGACCACGCGGGAGTATGCCTTCCAAAGCGTTAAAAAAAAACACAAACGAGGATGCCGATGAGGCAGACGAGTGTGGTCGATTGCGGCGGTGTCATCGGCTATGTGAACGTCTCTTGGAGACCCTGCGGCGTCTCCACCTTCAACGCCGAGAGCAGATGCAGCGTCAGTTCCAGCAGATTGAGGCGCGACAGGTGGAAAAAAGCAAGGCAGAGATAACGCGCTGCCAGAACGCGCTTGCTGCCTGCCAAGCTAGTGTAGAGGAAAGCAAACATCAGGAGCGTTTAATGCGTGAGGAGTGTCGCCAGCGTAGCGATGAGGTGAAGCGGTTGGAGGCTGCACTTGTAGAGATGCGTGCTGGGGGGCAGGAGATGAAGGAGGAACAGAAAAGGTTAATGGAACGTATGGGGGAGCTGCAGCGCGAGCGCGGCATTTTGAATCTTCAACTAGAGGCCAGTCAGCAGGACTGTGTGGAGTTGCGTGAGCGATACGAGTCGGCACGCGCAGAGGCGGAGGAGCTGCGGGAACGCGTGCGTCTGCTTGAGAACAGTCAACGCTCACAAGAGGAGGTGATGGAGGCGAAGGCGAAGGCTTTAGCGAGGATGGCGCGCTGCACTGAGAAGTTGAAGAAGACAGAAGGAGAATGCCAGGCCCTCCGTGACGAAAATGAGGTCCTCTCAAACAAAGTGAAGTCTATGCTCCTGCAGCTACAGACCTCTCGTATGCAGCAGCGCAGCAAAGGCAGCGCAGCATCTGTGCGGCAGCAAAACCAACAGCAACAACAACAAGAGGAGTTAACAGCGTTAACGAAGGAAATGGGGGCGTTGCGCAAGTTGCAAGAATCCGCTGCAGCCATGCATGCCAAGGAGCGTGCAGAGGCGGAGGTGTCCTTAAACAAACTCGCGGTACAGAAAGAAGAGCTGCGTGATGAGCTGGTTCAACAACGGCGCGCGCTGGCTGACGCTCTCAGCGAGGTGGAGTTGCAGAAGCAGGCGGAGGCAGCCACGCTGCGTACTCTGATGAGCATTCATCAAGCTGGGGGTGAGGTGTTTAATGACACCTGCGTGGACGGCAACAGCCCACACGGGGTGCAGCAGCGACTGTTCGATGCTAGCCCCATACTTCACACGGAGGATAACGTGAGTACAAATCGGGGAGAGTTGACAATCCTTGACCTTCGAGGGCGCGTCGTGTCTCTGGCGCAGCGGGCCGTCTTGGAACTTGCGCGACTAAGAGAAGCCGTTCCCCAAAGAACGCGGACTGGGGCGGGTGACAGACTGGAAAGTTTTCAGGCAGCGGAGCAATTTGCGTGGGAGGCAGCGCAGCGCTCTGCTGCTCGACGACAGCTTTGCACTGAAGATAACGGGGTGGCCGTGTCATCAGCGCCTCCGCCAACTCAGCGGGTGGGGCCCGTGCTGCGTAGTATTAGTCAGCAGAAACGACAACAACAAAAGCAAAAGGTGCAGTGTCATTCACTTGGGACTCCTGGTCGCTGCTCCTTGGTGCATCGGTCGCCATCACCAAAACAGGTGGACAGGGATGTGATTCCTATCGGCTTTTCCCCCAAGCGCCACTCTGTGTCCTTTACGGCTGTGGATGCCGTGAGCCGAACGACAAGGGGCGAACAAAAGTTTTCACGCCATTGCGCTTCCTCTTCCTCACTGGCTTCGACCGGTGGCGTGTCAAGGTCTCGCTCTGTTCCAGGGGTTTTGGATGGGAACTCTTCCCCGGCCAGGCCACCGATGCTTCGAGCACCGTCGGTGCGTTGAGCGGCTAGTCCTTCTGTTGTATTTGTTTTGTCTCGGATGGGCGTATTGTGGCTTCTTTTTGCGTTGCACCGCGTTTCACTTTATAGAAAGTTAGATGCAACCCACCGCACGGTGGTAGACGTAGTGCACCTACGGAGACGGGGGGTACCCTGATCTCTCTCTCTCTCTCTCTCTCTCTTGTTTTGTTTCCCTTCAATGTTGCCAATACGACCTATCATTACCACATACATACACTAACTGTGCTTTGCTTGCGTGCGTGCGTGCGCGAGGGAGGCAGCAGTGAGAGCAGTGGGGCGATCACATTTTGTCGCTATGAAGGCGTAATGATTGTTTGTGCGTCTATTTTGTTTTATTATTTTTGTTATTTGTACTCATCGTCAGGTCTTTTTTTCATTTTTTCATGTGCCGCTTTGTTTTGTTGCTCGTTTCGTGTGTTTTTTTTTGTAGTTTGTCTGTGTGTGCGTGCTCAGGCGGCAATTGTCGCTCCCGCCAGCCTTGAGCAAAAACAAAACAGCATCAAAAACAAGGAAGAAAAATAAAGACGCAGCGAAGGGAACAAAAACTCACAGTGTGCTCCACACTTTCATGTCTGCCAGGCAGCTGCGACGCCTGCAGAATCTGGTGAAGGCCTCTACGGGAGCGGATGACGAGGACGTCGTCGTCGCAGAGGAGTTGCACCCCTCAACGATGAAGATTCCAGGGGGCGGGAAGAAATCTGCGCGGCGACAAAGGATGACAGGGCGGAAGGCTCAAGTTGAAGCTGGCAGCCAACACCACCAGGAGGAAGAATGGACGTTGGTCACCAGCCTCGACAAGACAGATATTCACAGGGAGGCAGACAACAGAAGCGAACGTGCTGCACTTGCGGGAAGGAGAGAGCCCGAGGTTGGAAGAAGGCTGAACAAGGAGGTGGAGGTGCGGGTCGCCAAGGTTGCGGTTGATGGTGTGCAAGACAAGGAAGAGGTGACGAACGAGCGCCGCAACAAACGGCAACGCAATAGGCACGCAAAGGCCAAACGTCGCGAAAAAGAGCGTGAAGAAGAATTGTTACTGGAGGCAGCACTGCGACAACGAGAGGAGGATGCAACCGTTGGTGGGGCTGGGCTTGACACGGGCGGTAAGATGAGTGAGGAGGTGAATCTTCTTGAGCTTCTCTCTGTTTGCGATGCTAAAAAACTTGATACACGAGAGGAGCGCATTCGCCGCTTTGGTGCAAGAGCAGTGGAGGACGTCGGTGACGGCAGAGTTCCAACGCGGCGCGCAGAAAATAGGCCAGCCTCACTTCTTTTTGCGGAGCATGGACATTTTGCGCCTCGCTTTTTCCATAGCCTGTTGGCAACACCCAACCGCTACAGCTGGCCGCAATACGACGGCCTCGGGGTGGCCCTTGTGGTGAAAGAGACCAAAGCCGCTAAGGATAATCAGACCGCCGAGGATGAGGGTAAAACCACGGCAGGGAGTCCTCTTGTGTACTACCTTGATGATTCTACGGCCGAGACGCGGCGCGCGGACATGGCACTGGCGGTTTGTGGTTCAACTCACGGTGGTGTGGAGGGTATTATGCAGTGCCTGGCCGCTGCGCCGTACCACATCCCCACGCTTATTATTGCGAGCAATGCGTTTGAGACGATGGGTAGTGTCCCACGCGCTCAGGAGGCCATTGACATTGCACTGTATCACGTGGGTGTATTACTTTCGCGTTTTCCAGTTCGACAGACAGTGCGGCGACGTTGCCTGCCTTTCAGTATAGCTTCCAACAAACAACTCTTTCAGGTTTTGCGTTGTGGGGTTCAGCAAGCACTTAGAAAGGCGGCCACCAGGACCGCATGGGAGACTGCGAAACTGATTTACTCCCTTGACGACACGGATCCACTTGGGATGCTATTGCAACTTGACTATTTGGCACTGCGGGCGAAGCGGTGGGCATGGCTAGTGCAAGTGTATTTTATTGTGATACGTGAAATTGAGCGTGATGCTGACGACAAGGAGGCGGGTAATCTGAATGACGCACGGTCCAACCGTGGACTGGCGTTGGCATTGTCAACACTGCCCGGTTTCTTTTTTAGTGCCGCCCTCGCCAAATACTTCCTCGAGCGAGAGGAAGCAACGTGCGTGGGCCCCACCGGGTCATCTGGGAGCAAAACACCAAATGTAATACGTGAGATGAAACCGCCGCAGCTACATGCCCTTCGCAATACTCCACCGGCTGCAGTGATGCTTGCGCACGCTATTGGCCGTTTTCCTTCTGCTGCTGTACTACTTGTTGAAAAAATTGGAGGCCTATCTGTACTTCCATCAGCTCCAGCATCATGGCAGGATGTTGTGAGGGCACACGAGATGACTACAGAAGAGCATGGTTTGCATGTGGCGAGTATGTGGGTGGCTAGGAATGCCGAAATGTGGAAGGCGGCAGAACCAAGCGCTTTTCTGCGTCGTGTGATACAAGAGGACTACGTAAATTGGCTAAAAACTTACAATGACGCTAATAATAACACCTCTTCGACAGCTGCTGTTACCGTCACAGTGGATGCCTTGCACCCTCTCACACCATGGAAACATGCACTGCTCAAGGAAGAGGACATATTGGGTCCGACCCTGAGTGCAATCCCGGCGCACTTGCTGGACACGAACGAATTTACTGAGGAAGATCTGCGCGATGAAGCGCGGCGTGCAACGAGCCACGAACTTGGCCCAATGGAACAAATCACCCTGCTGCGTTTTGAAGCTTTGTACGGGCCTCTGTCACCAGCGACACTCTTGCCGGCTGAGCGGCTTGCCAGGTATAGTGCAAGGTTTGAGGAGGAAGGTAGAGGGCGCCAGATTGGAGAGGAACACAACCCCCTTTTTCTTTTTTTTCGAACGTTCCTGCCTTGGAATAGCATGCAAGAGATGACACTGCGCGCGGCGTTGGATGCTGCTGGGATTCCTGACCCTGCCGTCAACTTTATTCGTCGACCGCGTCTGGAAGACGAAATACTCTTGCAAGACGAATACGAAGAGGAGGAGGAAAATGGGTGGGAAACAGAGGAGAGTTGGTATGACGATGCATTCTTTGTAGAAACTGACAGTGATGAGGTCTAAAGCGAACAGCATAGTGTTCAGTGGGTGATGGAGTGAGTGCGTGTGCAACTACGTGTTTACGAAAGGAGACGACTGCAGAGGGAAAGATGTTGTATACATCTTTCTCTTTCAGGTTGAATAAACGGGGATAATTGTGTTTTTGTGTGCGTTTATGTGGTGGTGGCGATTTTAAGTGTTGCATCTGTTGGTTTTTGTTGCGACTTTTTCACTCTCTGGTTTGCTCGTGCGACAACGAAGGGGCAGGGACGGTGTGCGTGTTTGTGTGTGTGTGTGGGGGGGGGGCGAATGCGATCGTAGTGGTGGGGGGTCCGTGTCCTACTCCGCGAGGGTGTCCACTGGAGGTGGCTCATCGCTGCCGCTGGAAGATCGGCTTCACCGCGTCACGGCAAATGGCATTGCGCGTGTGACTCCGCAGGGTGTGGAGCGGGTGAAGCAGCAAATGTCACCAGAGAACCTTTATCGCGCGATGCGTGTTATGCTTGAAGACAACCGATATGCAGAAGTCTTGGACCGGGCGTCGCCGTCTTCGTTCTGCAGGGCAGCGCATGGTCTTTCCGCCGCGCAGCTCAGCGGTCTTATCACCATCTCAAAATCAAACTTTCTTGCCCTCTACAACGTGTTGCCATACGCGACCCAGGCGCACCTCGCGGAGATGATGGCAATTTTTAACACTACTGGCTGAAAGAGCAGAAGTGTGATCTCCATAACTGGCAGGATACATTTTCCAGTGGGAGACGATATCTCTACTTGTTTTTTTGTCATTTTGTCGTTGTTGTTTATTTATTCTATGCGTCTTTTTTCTTGTTTTTTTTTTTAAAGGTTTGTGTCACATCTGGTTTTCGCTCGTTTTTGTTCTGGAGGTTTGCAAGCGTGTGCTTGGGCAGATCTCGCTTGAAGCCGCTCCAGGAAAAGCCTTAAAGCAAGCTTCATCGTTGTGTTACACATACATATATTTGCGTAGTTTACAATGCTCTCCAACCCTGAAGTTGCAAGGGGCACCGTGAACTTTGCCGCACAGAACTTTCAGTACCAACAGCAATTTTCTGCTCCGGAGCAGGCTCTTAGCGCAGCAGGTAGGAACTGGCCGCGCTGCTTTCTTTTGTTATCGGGCATCTCAATGGGTCTCGTGATTGCCAGTTCAATTATTGATCTCATTACACTTAGCATTGGCATTTCAACAATCTTTTTAAATGTTTACCTCATAGTATTGTGTTTCTTCGCCCTTACTGCGGAGCTTCGCCAAGTAAAATGCCTGCGCAGCCTCATATACACCTGGATGAAATATCTTTACTTTTTGACGACGTACACAGGGAGGGCTTTTTTTTATATTTTTCTGGGAACCCTTGCGTTCGGAGGCGGCATCTGGAACTATGTGGCGGCAAGTGTGGCGGTTGCTCTTGGTATCCTCATGTTTTTTGTGAACCTTTCCGTCGAGTTGCCAAAGTATGTGGACCCGGAAGTGCTGCACGAGGAGGCTGGGCGACGGGAGGCGTTGGGTGGTGTGAATCAGACCCCTTTTTTTTCGACATCTGGCCAAGCTGTCACCGACCGTTTCAGCAATGCCACTATGAATGTCTCTTTGGCTGCCACTACGGGTTACCAGCCACCAGGCATTAACGAGGGTCCCAATGCACTTTAGACACGTACATTTTGGAATAGGAACAGAGTTGCCAGGAAGGAATGGGTATGGGAAACCCTAATGCAACGTATTGTTTTTTTTTCTCATGCATCAGTAGAAGTAGTGCTGACCCATTGTTTACTTACCCTGCTCCGAGTATGGTGTGAGGTGTCTGTGTGTATGGGGGTGGAGATGAGGTTTATCTTAGCTGCCTCCTTCACCTCTGATGCCGTCAGGGTGTCAGCGTTCGCATGCGTTATGGATGAAAGCTATGAAATCACCCTCTCGTGTTTTGAGCGAACATGGGCTGCAGCTTGCAGATCCTTGCCTTCTTTTCTTGTCCAAGAGAAGCACAATTTATTTATTTATTTTTGTTTGTAGCCTTGTCGATTGTGTGCTAGTGGGTCAAGTACGATTTTGTTGCTTTGCTGTTGTTTTAGTTTTTTTCATACATCATGGCACGTGACTTCTGTGAGCTGCTGTCGTAGTTGAGTTGGACTTTTGCGTGTGGTGTTTGTGGTGCTCCCATCGTCTGATGGTGATCCCGGGGGGAGGGGGACGTTGTGTCTGGGGCGTCTCACGTCTACGTTCCTCGCGTGACTTGATCGTTGCCGGTGCACCTTTTGGCTCCGGGGGAGTTCCTGCCACGTCGAACATCTTCAAGCTTCTATGTGGGCGTGGGGGTCTACATCATGCGCAAAAAACTGGGCACTTTGCTCTTTTTTTTTTCTTCTCTCTCTTTCTCTCTCTCTTTTTTTTTTTTTCTAATACCCTTTCAATCTTTTTGGCTTTTATGGGTCGCAGCTGCCGCAACGACGCCACTGGCAAATGGATGATGACGTATCCGACGGTCCCCCGCCAGAGCGCAGCGCACGCGTGCGGCCAACACACCGCAGTACCCTTCCGGCACTTACGCGTCACAAAGCAGTCGATCCGCGCTTCAGCGATCTCTACGGTACCGTTGACCAAAAACAGTTTGAAAGTCACTACAAGTTTCTTCGCGAACAGCAGGAGGAAGAGGAGACGCGTCGCAGGCATCGCATGCGCTGCCTTAAGTGCATTGTCAGACGTGGAGAGCTTGAGGCGAGTGGGGCGAATTTGGAGGAATACGATCTTTCAGAGAATGAGCGGGAGGTGTTCGGGGAGGACCATCTCGATGAGTTGTTGGCGATGAAACTTCGGCCGCTGCCAGACCTGCAGATGGAGCTTCAGGGGCTGCAGCGTGAGTCGCAACGGCACGTGTCACGTATGAAGGGTCGCCAGGTGCAGTCGCGTCGCGACAACCTGAGGAAGGAAATTATCAAACGGGAGGCGGTGGCGGTGAAAGAGGGGAAAAAGCAGCGGCCATTCATTCCGAAGCGGGCGCAGCTCAAGCGTGAGATTCTCGCTGACACGTTTGAGCGACTTGAAAGGAAGGGCGGAAAACGGGCGGTTGACAAGTACGTGGAGCGCAAGAGTCGGCGATAATTTTGAGAAGAAAGACTGTGACAATTTCATTTTTGTTCTTGTTTGTTTGTGTCTTGCGCGTTGCCCCATGTTGGCTGGGACGATTAAAAAAGTGAGGAGTGTGTTTGCGTGCGCGCGTGTCCCTTTGTCTGGTAAGCGGGGGGCGGTTGTCGACCCCGCGTCCTCGTCTGGTGGTTGCATACATTTCTGTTTACATTGGACGCCTTTCTCCCTTTCTGCCCTCCATCTTTCTTCCGTTTGCATGGGAATCCATAAACAAACAAAACACAGTAACGTATAAGGCTCCTGTATCCAACACCCACCTGAATACCCACACACACACACACACACACACACACACATTACCACACGTGTTTCACTGTGTGTAGAGGGAGCAAGGTGCGTGTTTTGTTGTGCGGTTAAAACGCCCATTTGCGGAATAACCAGCCCCGGGTTATGTGTATATATACTTGGATTAACAACATGTTTTGGAAGTTTCTGGATGAGTTTTGGGACACAGCTAATCCATTAACGCGCCATTCGGAGGATATGACTGCGGAGGAGGCGAAAAAGCAGTCGAGTTTTGAGTCCTTCGACTACTACAAGCCGTACCCATCCATGTACATGACACACCTTCGTGCGCATTACGCTGGGCATACGACGGCTGCTTCCGGGGGTGACAGGACGGGCAGCACAACTGCAACAACGACGAATAATAATAATAATAATGCGGGAGTGCCACCTATAAACGATGCGATGACAGTGGATGTTGGTGGTACGTTAGCGTCCAACATTGATGGGGTCAGGCTAAAGGTGATGAACACGGTCAAGAAGTATGATGATGACGAGCGCAATGAAGCATTGCGATGGATTTTACACGTTATTATTGCCATTTCTGTTGGTGTATTGGCAACAATTATTTCCTACACGGTTGAATTCGTGGATAATTACCGTGCAGCTCAGCTTGACGATCTTATCAAGAAGCACCGTATGGCTGGTCACTTTGTTGGCTATCTTTTTTCTATTGGTATGTCCATAGCTCTTGTCGTGGTGGCAGCAGCTGTTGTTGTGTTTGTTGAACCGGCTGCGGCGGGAGGTGGCATACCGGATGTTATCGCCTACCTGAATGGTGTGCACGTGCCTAAGGCAATGAAACTTCGGACTTTTTTGGCGAAGAGCATATCTTGTATTTGTGCGGTGGCTGGCGGATTGCCCGTGGGGCTTGAGGCACCATTGATTCATCTTGGTGCCATTGCGGGGGCGGGGGTGACGCAGGGCCGTAGTCGTACGCTGGGGTGCCAGACAAAACTTTTCCAGGCGTTTCGAAACAACAAGGACAGACGAGATTTTATCACTGCAGGAGCTGCGTGCGGCGTTAGCGCTGCGTTTGGGGCGCCTATTGGTGGTTTACTCTTTGTGATGGAGGAGGTCTCAAGTTTCTGGGACCACAGCGCAAGTGGACAAATTTTTCTTGCCACAATGATTTGCTTTACGACGATCAGTATAATTCGTTCCATGCTGGAGGATCAGCAACTGCTGGGGTGGGTGTCAAATGCGGTTTCTGTTCTTTTCGAGGTGAATTTGACGATTCCGCTTAACCTATTCTCGATAGTGCCGTCCTTTTTTCTTGGCATCCTTTGCGGGGCGTTTGCAGCTGTCTTCACCAAGATGAACCTCATGCTTGTAAAGTGTCGCCGCCGGTATCTACGCCCTTTCGTCTTCCGCCGCTTTGTTGAACCCCTCATTATTGTCCTGCTGTACGGCTCGTTCTCGTACATGCTGGCCCTTGTACCAGACTGCCGCCCGACACACGAAATGAGTAGCGCAAACGGGACCTTTGTCTGGGGCACGGAAAATCGTACGCAACTGTTTACTGCGACGTGTGCAGGGGAGGACGCGTACGCACCACTCGCAACTCTCACGATGGGCACCGGAAAAGACACCATTCGACACCTCCTTTCACGACAAACAATTGGAGAATTTCCAGCAGTGTATATTCTTATTTTTCTTACACTATACACATTCTTTGCATGTTGGTCAAGTGGGACGGCTGTGTCTGGTGGGTTGGTGGTGCCAAGCCTTGTTATTGGCGCCGCCTTTGGGAGGTTGTACGGGCAGATCTTATGGTTTCTGGCGGTACGTGGAGCGGGTGCTGATCGCAGTTATAAGGTGTCGCAGGCCTGGTTGGATCCTGGCGTTTTTGCGCTGATTGGTGCAGGCGCCTTCTTCTCTGGCACTTCCCGTATGACGATGTCTATTTGTGTTATTATGGTGGAGCTATCCTCTGAGTTGCACTACTTGCTTCCTGTCATGGTCGCCATAATCATGTCTAAAACAGTGGCGGACTTTATTAGTGAGCCACTTTACCACCACATGCTGCGACTAGACTCTGTACCGTATCTGCAGGCACACCTTTTACGTCCTGGGTTTGAGCAGCTGACGGCTGCAGACGTGATGACCTCGAAGGTGGTGACGCTTCGACTGCGGGAAAAGACGTCTGTCGTATTGGATGCATTGCGCCACACGACACATCATGCCTTTCCAGTGGTAGAGGCGGTGCAGGAGGAACGCTTCGAGAGTGGTGACTGCCGTGTCAACGGTAAACCACTTGGCAGAGAGGAATTAGGGGAGGAGGAAGAAGAGAAGCGTGTGCGGTACAAGTTTGTTGGTCTTGTTACACGTGAGGATGTACATATTTATTTGGCACTGCCTGCGCTTTACAGTGCCCACCAGTCGAGCGATCCTTCCGATTTGCACGGTCATGGTTCTGGTCTTGGGCTGGCGCCCAGTGTGCTTGCTATCAACAAGATGACGTGGACTGAGTGGTTGACCCACAAGACATCCCTGTTTTTTGTTCTTGGAAGCAAAAGGTGGTTGGAAATATGGGCACGAAGCAACAACACGGCTGAAGGGGTCGAGAAGGTTGAGGTGGACGCCAGCGAGAGCAACAACTGTAACGGCAGTGACGACCCCCCCAATCTATTGTGTGTGGATGAGGGACGCCTTCCGCCGGTCCTAGACTTTTCACTTATTGTCAACCGCAGCCCGTGGGTGATTCCGCCGTTCTTTAATCTGCAGATGGCCTACCACACCTTCCGTATGATGGGACTGCGACACATGGTGGTTGTGGACGGTGACGCTGTCGTAGGTATTATCACGCGCAAAGACCTCCTTGTGGACACGCTCTTACGACGTCTGCGTGAGCTTCACGGAGAGAACAACAACGGCAGTAGCGCAAGAAACACGCCGCCGGCATCATTGTCGGTGCGTGATGAGCATGACGGAATCAGTTTCTCACCGCGATCGCGGACGGAGGCTTTTATGCAGGTGGTCGCTCTCCCTTCCCTGCCGTCCTCTCAAGCAGGTGTTCCCAATTTGCTTTTTTTGGAATCCGCTAACACAGACGCTGACCCTCATAAATAGGAGTCAAGAAGAAAAAAAAATAATCAGGCATCTGTTGCATGAACAGCAACAACAATAAATTATTTGGCGTGAAGGATGTGTACTTCTGTGGTGTGGAACGAATGCCCGAGCGCTTCCCCTCCGTGCTTGCGACGACTTAGGAAGGAAGGAGAAACCAGATCAATGTCGAAAACAGGTGGGAATATTCGTTTTTGTTGCTTTTGTCGCAGTGAATTGGTGGTATACGTAAGTATACGTATATCAGCGTGTGCGCACGCAGCTCGCATGTGAGCCTCACCATTTTATCTTCATTTGTTTCTTTCTCCCCAACTCTTGGCAGTAGTGTTGTTGTAGTGTTTTTGGCCATTCCCTCCCTCCACCCCCTTTAAAAAGAATTTGCCTGCTGCCACGTTGCCCGTGGGAAAGTGCTGCTTTTTACGGTGCACTTGCCTCGTTTTGTATCTCTCTGTTGTTCACTAGTGACCGTGGTGGCGTGTGTTGATGGGGGATCTTTGGCCTCCCCTCTTCACCCCATTTTCTCGTATTGCTCCTATTGAGGTGTACACTTCTTCCTACTCGTGCGTTTGGATCTGAAACCATCCTTTTTTTTTCCCGCATCACGGCATTTGGAGGTCATTCATACCGCGAAGTTCTGCGCCGCTAGACATATTTGTACGTACGCACAGAGATAGAGGTGTGTGTGGGGAAGGAGAATAAAAGAAGGAATAAGTAAAGAAATGACTACATCCACCGACGACGAGAAGGACGTCAAACTCACAGCTCTCATCAAGACTATGTTCGAGCGCGTACCAAAAGAGAAGCGACTGACGGTGGACGTCGTGATGCAGCTGCTGAAGGCAAAGTACATGGATACCTTCCCGGCGGAATACCTTGCAGATCGCACCGTGTTCCTTACCAGACTCATTGACTCACTCTATAGCGCAAAGAGCGCTGAGACGAAGGACTATGGTGAAAATGCCAACTCCCACAGTAATGACGAAGATGCTGAGGAAGAAGAGGACGATGATGATGATGATGAGAGTGACGATGACGATGACGATGATGATGATGATGAGGGGGAGGAAGACGAGGATGAGGATTTAGACGAGGAGTCTCACAGCGAGGGGACGGATGAAACGGGTGACGGCAATGACGGCGCGCCGGCGGTGAAGCGGCAACGGCTAGAGGAAGGGGCCAGTGAAGTGGCGCGGCGGTGCCACGAAATGGTGGACTGCCTCCGCCGTCTGAGTTACCGCGTGAGGAAGCAAGAGGATGGGGAGTCGTCAGAGGCGTACCTGCAGCAGTACTTGGTACCCCTATTCCAGGAGAAGGGTCTGGACCCGGCGCGATACAGCAAGGCCGATGTGAGACGATATCGTGTGAAGAGAGAGCTCGAGCAACTACAATCCGACGGCGCCGATGTCAACTTGGACCGCGCTGCACGTGCTGGTCGTGGCCTCAATGGTCTCCTG